TGAAAAGCAGGCTAGATTTTTTTTTTTTAAGTGCTGCATTTCTGGCTACAGCAGGATACTTTTAAAATTGTTTTCTCGTGGCTTTTTTTTGGGGGGGGGAGGGTTTAAATCCAGACTGGATCACAAGAAGAAGGGCTGGAACTGGAGACACTCCTGAAAATTTGCCCTGTTTTCTGGTTATTTCCTGGTGGATTCTTTTTTGTTTGTTCGTTCACCTGGATTGCAATACAGATTGGTATTTTCCTCTCTGTCTTTTGGCTGCTCTGGGATTTGATTATGGAGACAGTGGAAAAGGAGTGTGGAGCCCTCGGTGGTCTTTTTCAAGCTATCATCAATGACATGAAGGTAAGATCTGTTTTTCAGTCAAAAGAAAATTATACAGTGTGACAACTGTTCTGCCTGGTAGATCACTAGGAGAGACATTAGAGGGGTTGGGGGGGAGGCGCCCAGGGCTGGAAAACCAGTAAACAGTATTGAATTAAAAGCGAAATTGTAGTGAGTCAGCCAGGCTGCAGTCAGAGCAGGGTTGGGCTGAGCAGCTCTGCACCTCTTGGTTGTACTCAAGGTTATGGCTCTGCTTTAGCATCTGTATCTTTCATTGAAATGCCTGGGAGGCAGAGATCTAAATATTTCCAGCTGTGATTCACTTCCCTTCTCTGGTCACTGATGGGTGCAGCCTCCAAAAGTGCCACCCTTTTCTTTTTAAACAAAAAAGACCCCCAAGCTCCTGTTTCTTCAGTTGTCCACTGCTTTGATTTGCTGCTTTGCCCAGGAGTTTGTGATTTATTGTAAAAGCCTGGGATTTAATTAAAAAAAATAGATTGGTGGTGAAATGAGGGCACGGAGTGGGGATAAACACCAGCCTTCACTGTCCAGTTTGGCGTGCAGAGAGAGAACGGGCTGATTTTTCCTCAGGGCACAGAATTGTGCCAGGAAGGGACTGATGATACTGGCTCCCAGGTCCCTGCCTTGTAACCACATCCACTGTGGGTGTTTGGAAGGGAGAGATCCCCTCCTCTGCCTCCTCCCTCTCTCCAGCTTCTTGCTGCAGCCTGAGTCCAGACAATGCTGTCATTGCCAAGGCAGGGTGAAAAAAATATAAAGCTGAGCAGAGAAAGGGATTAACTCCTTCACAGCTGGATGGCATTTCCGTTTGACCCGGATGGAGGTGCCTCTGTGGTCTATCAGGGCACCTGATGAAAAAGATCACAGGCAGAAAAAGGGGAGTTTCCTATGGCAGGGTGGAGGAGGACTCTAATGCAACTCCCCTCCCGAGGTAGGCTTGCACCCGGGCCCTGCACCTCCCCAGAGCAGTAGTGAGGGAAGCAGCAGCACAAGCTACAAATAAGCCCCCCAGGCGGGCAGGAGGCTGATGTGTGCCTGGTTCCCTGGGGAGTGTTGGTTGCCCCTCACCTGCTTTCTGGGTGGTGCAAGGCAGTGGCAGTGAATGGGGGCATTAAGCAAGTCTTTGAGGTTCCTACTCAGGGGCATGGTGGTTGCCTGATGACAAGGCTTTGGCAAGCCAGGCTGTGGCAACCTGCACAGTCCCCAAGTGTCAGGAGAATGACTGAGTCCCCCAAATCACACCCAGGCCAAGCCCACAAGGGCCTTCTAGCCATTTCCAAAGCGGGGAGCTGCCCACCCAGCATGGCCTTGAGGCCCAGCTGGTCCAATGTTATCTCTGAGGGTGGCTAGCACCAGCTGTTCAGAGAAGGGATGTGATGTTGGTGAGTTCCCACTCCCTTTCCTTTGGCATCCGTCTTGTTTGCTAGTTGCCATCTGGCTCCGGTGGGGAGGTGCACCGTTACTTTCCCTGGCAGGAGTGAATAGGATGAGCAAGCAGTCCACTCCTGCACTGAGCAACAAGGGGTTGCTACTGGCACAGCCCCCTGTGCTCCTGCCTTGTCCTAGACACAGGAGCGCTGCTTCACCCAGAGCCTTGGGGAGCAGGGCTGCCCTGTGCTGCAGGGGAAGGGGGTCTGCCTGACTGACTAGCTCCCAGGCATTTTGCTGGGCCCTGGGAGCTGGGGAGGCCTGAGGACTGGAGGGTACTGCAGATGGAGGGGTGCTGACTGGGGACCCTTAAACCTCCCATCAGTTCTTCGGGCCTTGCTGGCTCGCTGTTTCAGGCATCCCTTCCAGCTCTCCTTGGCCTCTTGGAGACTTAAGACTTCATCTCCCTCCCCCCATGACAATCTTTGAATGGGCTGTGGCTGCTGCTGCAGCAGTGGCTGGCTTGCTGCCTCTCAGCTCCCGCACTGCCTGTCAGGGCTCCGCGGCTGCTGGGGTAGGATGCCTCTTGTGGGTCACTGGGCTAAGTGCTGAGCTCCACTCCAGGTCTGAACTTGCCAAGGGCAAACACTTCAGGCACTGCCAGTGCCCAGTATGCTCCCCCTCTATTTTGCCCCTTCACTCACTATAGACATGGGCTGCTTCTGTGCTGAAGCCTGTACTTGGGAGCACCGCTGGAGGCTTGAGGAGTGGGAAGGGGACAGAGCTGACCCAGGCCCATCCCAAAGGGTGGTAGTGATGGTACAGCTCTGCCCCAGGGGAACAGCCCCTTCTTCCTCAGTGCCTGTGCTCTCATGAGCATCGGAGCTTGGCTGGCTGCTGTGATGGACAGCCTGCTGCCCTGTGTGCGACTTGCCTGCCCCTGCAGGAGCCACCATGTGAGGGGGGAGCCAAATTCCCACTGTGTGCAGCATGAGTAGGCTGTCTGTGGGGCTGTAACCTCCTGGAAGGCCATGAGTGCCCAGCTGGCCCTGTGGAGCCTGGCGGGAGGGGGAGGAACCCCAGGGGGACTCTGAACTGCAGGAATGCAGGGCCTTTGTGTGCGCTGTCTGGCCGGAGTGGTGAGGAACGCAGAGCCTAGGGCTACACACACAGTCCCCTTGCATGGGAGACCTCTTGGTAGATGGGGCAGCCTGGACTGTCGTCTCCTAAGCCTGTAGGTCCAGCACCCAGCAGCCTCTGATGGGGCAGAGGAGCTTGTGACTGCCAAAGTGACTAGACCCACAGGGGCAGAGAAAGGAAGAGGGTCCCACAGAACCACCCCTGTCAGCTCTCTCCTGGCCTGTCAGCCTTCCCTGGGTGCCCCCTGGGTATTTCCAGCAGGAATATATGTAACAGATGCCAGAAGGAGAGGCCCAGTGATGCCCCTGACGCTTCCCAGGCCTAGTGTGAGCAATACAGCCCAGAACTGAATCGGGGGCAAGGCCAAATGCCTGAGGGGTTGGGAGATCAGTCTGTCACATTTCCACAGGGCGATTCTCCTCCAGAGCAAATGCCCTTGGAGAAATGACCTTGCCCTGCAGTGAACTGATGGCCTCAGGCAGCTGGGGAGAAACAGAGGGCTCAGGAGACCCCAGTGGACTCGGGGAGAGCAGGCATGCTCCCGGGCTTTGAAGTGAGTACAAGGAGACCCACAGTTGGCACAGCGTTCTCGGTAAGGGAGAGAGACCCGGGGACAGATAGGAAGAGGCCTAGGGAAGATGAAGCTGGGGGAGAGGGCAATCATCTGGAGGATCAAAGGCAAAAGATTTGAGTGTCTTGGAGACCACGCCCTGGTGCAGGCAGCTCTCCACATCCCCAGTGTTGGTCCTGCTGGTGAGAGGTGACTGCTGCCCACTCCCCCAAGCTCCACCCAGGTGCTGTCCTGGGGACACTGTAGCAGCCTTCCCAGCCATATGGGAGATCATGGCACAACACTGGATTTTGGGGTTGCCCTTGTGTCCACTTCTGGGAGCAGCAGCTGCCATATATCTCTGCTGGCAGGGTCTTGGGGAAGGTATTTGCCTTTGCACCTGGACTGGAGAAGGCCTAATATCATTTGCCTGGGCCAGGCCCCTTGCAGATGTACAGGAGGCTTCTAGGTCTGTGGATGCTATAGAAGGGGGTCCCTGGGGACTGGGTTCATGGTGCTTCTTGCCCAAGCCCCACAGTCCATGTCTGCACAGCTGAGGAGTCAGGATGGGGGACCTGGGGGTGATGTGGACTGGTCAGGATGGAAGGGACATGGGGGAGATCAGGCTAAGAGAGCCCAGGTCCCAGCAGACACCTTGGCCTCTTCATGCCATTGCAGTCTCAGGAGAGGCAAGGTGTCTATTGCTCCAAGGGTCACAGGGCCACATCTTGCAGAAATGTGGAAGAGCGGACCTGGGTCTGGGCCACTGACAAGTTGGTTCCTCACTGGCACCCAACAGCTGTGGCCCCAGGAACTGAATGAGGAGTACTGGGTAGATCTGGCTCTGGGCCTGCTGAACCCATGGAGGGGCACTGACTGTGGGGAGGTCCCAAAAAGCAGGCAAGGCCTAAGGATCCTGTGGGGCAATAAGGGCTACTGATAGCTAGCGGGAGGAGGCTTGAGGGGAAGTTTTTTGGGCTGGGGAGCTCTGTGCATGCAGGGATGCGAGACATGGGGATCACAGCAGAAAGAGGTTACAGGGCTCTGCATTATTCATACCCCCTAGGGCACTACAGGGCAGCACTGCTTCTTCGTCTGCTCTCTTCCCCACCTTCTATAGCCCCTGGGCTTGGCATTGTATCTTCTCTTCCTGCATCTGGTGCCAAGCAACATGTTTCAGGTGGGAAGGAAGGAGGAGGTTCCTGGAGGTTTCCCACCCTCTTCTCCCTATTGTGGGTTGTTCTGGATCTTGTAAGACTCCCCTGGGCTCCCTGCTGCACACAGCTCCCTCTGTGGAGGCCGTGTTGGTCATGGAGCCCATTCCTCTCAGCTGCTGATGGATAGCATTTTGCTGTGCCAGGTCTGGCCCTGAGCCAAAGAGGCCCAGCTGGGCCCACAGCACAGAGGCCAGAGGTAGCCCAGGTCTGCTTCCTGGTGCCAGGCTGGGCTCCTTTCAGCAGCTACCAGCAGGGCATCGGGTACTGCTGGCTTTGCAGCTGTACTGGAAAGTGTCTAATGCCAAAGTCTCCCCTGCCATCTTCGTTGCTGTGTCAGTGCTTGCAGACCTTCTCCTGAGCTCTTGAGGCAGCTCCTCCTGACCCCCCAGCACCCTTCCCTGCCCTCAGCCTGAATTGGGGCACTAAGTTACTGTAGAAGACCTCCCCACCGCCTCTGACAGTCGGGAAGGCCCTGTCCTGACAAGCCCCTTTCTCAAAGAACTACTTGGAGTTCAGTTCAGGGCAAGATGATGGGACATGTTGGGAACTAGCCCCTGAACCCTGTCCTGACTTCCAGTTTCTCTTCTTGCCTTGTAACCCTCCTGGGAGCCCCCTGCCAGGGAATTCAGTCTTGGTGGAGGGGGCAGCTCAGGATGTGACCAGTGGTGCCCCAAAGCAGGGGTGGCAAACAGGCCTTTGTGTCTTCCTTGTGACTTTTCCTGCTG